GCTAAATTTGACCACTTTTGGGCTTTCCTAACCCCACACCTTCTTAGCACAGATCAGCAAAGCTGGACTCAGACGAAAGCTTGGGACTCAGACGAAAGCTTGGGAAGCTTTTGTAACAACAGTGCTGAAGTTGGGGATAAACATGATAAAGACACGTAGACTGTTTGGCCATTGGCTCGTGAGGCTTTTGCAGGAGCAGCAGCGAAGAGGCCAGTATCAAAATGTTGTTCAAAAGCGGGTGATGTAATGAAACTTAAACAATATCTTGGAAGATTATAGAGCCAAAAGTATTGAGCACCTCATGCTCACCTATTGTTGGCTCTGATTTTTACGATCACTGTTTCACGTTCACACAGCAACTCAAGCAGGTACCTGAAGAGGCCAGCCGCTTGGGGCATTCAGCTTCAACTAGCCTCTTGCCCTTGTGGCTTGGTTTTTGCACATGTTTGAACCGAGTATCATGCCATGACACATGCCAAGTTTCAAGTGCTTTGTTCGAAGAACTGTTGCGCAGCTACGTGTGCAATGCGCTTCCTGGTTTTCTTGCTGCCCTCAGTCGACGCATAGCCAAACACTTGGCCTTTCAAATCTGGCTCTCACGCATCTCACAGTGCACACGCTTCTCACATCCTCGTCAACACACAAATTACACCTCATATGCTGCGAAGTTCTTACATGCTGCTTTGACTCACACTGCACGTTGAGACTGGGCGCCAAACTGCATGGTCTGCAACCGCATGGCTCGCAAACGGGGTATCGGAACGTAGGTGCGGCGTTCGTCTCCGCAAAAAGTTCAACAATTCTCCGCAATGCTCGCTTGCAGACAGAAGCTCACCAATCAAATCATCAGGTGGCTGATCGTTGGGGTATATGGACTCACAACAATGTTTCCAATAGTGGTCAACTGCTTGCAAACTTGCTCCTTTGGCTGAATAATGTTGCCTTGTTTCAGCAATAGTTCTCGCAATTCCATCCTGCGGGTCAATTCTTTTCACAAACCGTGGGTCAGTTGCATTTGTTACGTCACGCTTACGCTCATTCTCGGCCAACTGGTGCAGCAACATGGCACGTCGATAGCTGCTCTGCGTTCCCAATGGGCCAACACCATAGAAAGGTCCGTCAGAGCCAAGCGCTACTTCAGCATATGCTTCAGCTTGCATTTTGACAGCCTGCACCTGCTGCACGAGACGCTGACACAAAAACTTCTGGACAGTCTCCGGTACCTGAGATGGGCATTTTTTCAGCGTGGCTGACTCCCCAAGCTCTGCTTCCAAGTGCTGCAAAAATTCGAGGCATGACCTTGGATGCCTAAGCCCAATTGGTGCCAAAAACCCAACTGGCACCGGAGACAACAATCGCCACCATTCCTTGCTGGACATTTCCACTTCCTCACCTGGTCGCCCAATATGTTCCAACAATGCTGATTTGAGGCCACCGAGGCAGAATCCATAATCAGCAGTCGAAATGCCTAACGTTAAATGTACAGAAGCACCTGCCCATCGGGTGCCCTCTGTGCTGGTGAAGTGGGGGAATCCCATTGGCACAAAAAGCACGTCGCCAGCACGTAACACCACGTCGAGCAATGGCTTTCCAAGCTCATGTTCATCTAATTTGTCGCCGTTTTTGCCTCGATATAAGGGATGGTCATCGGAGCGTGTTGGTGGAGAAAATATTTGCCAACGTTTCGCGCCGTGGGTTTGCAATACAAGCACATCATGGTTGTCTGTATGCACGTCCGTCGAAATCTTGCGCCCAGGGCCTGTTATGTACACATTGATGTTCGTAGGAAATTGAAAGGCCGCACTGGCTGCCAAGCATATTTCTGCTGCCACCTTCCAATGCAGCGAAGCAGTGTTCAGAAATATAGTGCCAAATTGCAAAATTTCAAGAAGCTCTTCCATGGTGCGTACCGGCGGCAAGCTGATGGGACATCGAAAATCTTGCCCATCAGTCAATGTCAATGCTGATTCGCAAGATTTGCAAGATGTTGACGGACTTGCTGCCAGCCCGTGCAAAACGTCAGGCAACGAAAGCAAATCAATGATAAATGGTACGGGAAGGATGAGAGGGCCTCTTTGCTGACTTGCCCAACACTGTTGAAATGAGCTGCTGGCGGCCAGCGCGTTGAAGAACTCTTCCAAGCGGACTGGGGTCGGGCATGTTGATTGATGCGGTCGTATATGGGGCAGCACTTCATCCCAGAGCTTCTGCGTCCTGGATTTTGTAAACCCTTCCACATGTGAAACGCTCAGGTCGCTCCACGATACCGAGCATGCCACAACAACTCTTGCGGGCTTTGGAGCATGCAACAAGCGAGCCCAACGTAAATCGCCGACAACCGAACAATTCGTTGATGAATCCGCGAGGGGCTCTTCCAGCTTCCAACAATGGTCGCAAAACCATTGACTCACTCGCCGTGACCACAGCTGGCCAGGAACGCTGCTCTCATGATTGCATTGCATACCCAAGGCATTTGCCTGACATGACACGAATACATGCCCTTTCTACCCCTTCTTGAGGACTGTGTATCTACTGGCCATTGAATGTCCCGAGGAAGAAACACAAAGCAAAACAAGGAACACCCCAGTCAACATGTGTAAACCCCCCATGCATCCTCAACATCTCATAACTCTGCGTGTGCTTTGGCATGCAGACTTGCTGGAACTATGTTGGTTTGTCCATTGTTTTCACGTACACATGGTTGGACTTGATACTCACCTTGCGGTGCGGTCAGCGGCCGCCATCAGAGATGGGCATGTTCCACAATTTTGCAACAGGACTCCGGACTCGGACTGGACCATGTCGCGTGTTGCATAAGCTACGAATCTACAATTTGTCTCACCAACACTTTCGCATACCTTCGCGCCATTTGAAAACACTGGAAACCCAGAATCGGAATCGCCAAATGAAATGACAGCATCCGTTGTTGCTGGAAACTACGCATTCCAGCTATTTGCGGTATTCGATGAAAAAAATGTAATTTGGAATTGCAAGGGCACTGGCAAGCGCAGCCGCCTGAAACATATTGAATGCCCGCTTTAGACGTCTCTCCATCCGCCATTTCGGTGCGGCCCACAATTGCATGCCGAAACTAACAACATCAAACAACCAAGCTTTGCGTGTGCACCCCAATTGTGTTCAAACACCTGGTAAGCCCTGCCTCGACAGTTCCAAATACGGCGAAGGTTCATGACAATGTGAGGCTGGAGGCACGCTTATTGAATTATCGTGAGCCCTGTTTCAGGGACGGGTAAGGTCCTACTTGTCCATGCATGCGAATCGGCAAGCTTGATTTGCTTGAACGTACAGCAACGAGAACTGAGCGCGGGCTTTGTGAGAAGGGTCTGGATGTCGTGTTCCTTGCTAAAAGAATTCGCACAGTAATTCGTAATTAGGCAAAATTCCAATGCAACAACTCATTTCGTTCATTTAGATTTGGAGCAAATTCGCGTTCAGCACCGGGGATGGAATGCCTCAAGCATGGTGCCAACCGCCCTCTGCCATGACCATCTACCTTTTTAACCTGCAC